ACTTCTTTGGAGCCAACTTGAGATTGTAAGCCTGTGGTCTCTGGAAAACCACTTGCAAGTGCTCCAGTGCCACTTCTTCTGTGGCAGCACAAACCAGGACATCGTCAAGACAACATAGCACACTGAGAAAGGTCTGATCTCTGAAAATGGCTAACGTCATCCTCATGAAGGTCGCTGGACTGTTGCACAATCCTTGTGGCATATGATTATATTCGTATAATCCAAATGGTGACATAAATTCGGTGTACTTACGGTCCTGCTCATGCAGCTCCACATTATAATAACCTGAAGTCAGGTCCATTGTAGAAAATAATGCGTTTCCTCCTAAAGCAGCCAACGCATTGGCCAAAAGCGGAAATAGCTGGGCATCTTTGACAGTTGTAGCATTAAGTCAGCGGAAGTCATTACATATTCTCAACTCACCAGAATTCTTCCAAACTAAGACCAATGGTGATGCAAACACACTGCAAGATTTCTGAATAATTCCCCGTTCCTCCATTTCATTCTGTGGTAGTTTGTCATAAAGTTGTCTTAGTTGGTGGCACATGTTGGCATGGCAACCGGAATAGTTTGTCATCCACAACTCGAATTCGATGTAGGCAAGCTCGTCTCTTGAGAAGATGGACACAAACTGTGCTATGAAGCAAACTAGTTTCTCTTTGCCAGCTGGTGAAACTGCACGTGAATCAATTTCAATATCAGATAGCCCCAGATTTTGTAGCACTGCATGTAAGGGTCTACCACAACTTGTCACTTCCTGTGAAGATGCATTTTAGGCTCACTGACTTGTCAAAGGGGTTCAACACTTTTACCCATCTATCACTTTTTAGATATGCCACAGTTCTTCCAACCATAACCGATCTTGGCCTGGACCTTGAGCCTGTGGGTTCTATAACTGCAAAGACCACCTCCCCACTATTGATTAGCTGCAGCCTGCCCCAAACTAGGTGTTCTGTCGGTGGCTCCAATGTGACAGCTCTCTTTAGCTTGACAGCTCCAATCTAATCACCAACGTGCTCTGGAACCACCACGCCTGATATTGAACTCAACAGATTTTTATTAGCCAGTTCTTCAGCATTCAGGGCCTTACTGTGTTCCTCTCCTAAATATAGGAGAATAAGGTCCTCACTCTGCCCTGCAACCACCAGCATTGCCACAACAACTTTGCAGCCATACATCTCAACGGTAATGTCACACACACCTGTTGGAACTGTCCTTGAACAACTACAACCAATCAGGACGACATCAGTGGGTTGGAAGGTTGAGGTCTCCAATGCTACATGACATACCCACATAGCAAGCAGGTCTGGCCCGGATCTGGTATCAAGTCGCCACTGCTAGCTAACTTCTGGCATGATAAGACGTATGTCATCCAGATATGGGCCAGGCCTGGTATAGATGGCACTATGTGATGGCATGCCATAACTGGCTTGATTGTGGTTTGGTTTATGTGGCCCAGGCCCACAGAAAACAGGTCTGGCCCTGAAGAAGATCTAGCATCAAGCTGGCACTTCTGACTGACTGGTGTTTTGGCAGGGTGTATGTCAACCAGATGTGGGCCACGTCTGGCAATGATGGCACTATTTATGTTCCTATTTTCCCATTTAAATTAGAAGACCAAAATGCCATGTTGCAATACTATACTGCTATGGTAGCCAATGTTTCAAATGCAGGTTTGACAGGTTTTTGAGTGTACATTTCATCCAAAACCTAGTGAGGGTTTACTCATCTTTGCCAGTGGGAGGCTGTAGCTCAGGAGGTAGAGTAGGTTACAAACTGATCGGAAGGTATAGTGGTTCGATCCCTGGCTCCTCCAGTCTGCATGTCAAGAGTATGAATGTAGTTAGGAAGCACTCAGTTAAGCAAAAGTGTGTGATTAGGTGAATGTGGCATGTTGTATAGAGCACTTTGAGTTATCTGGGAGAGTAGAAAAGCGCTATATAAGAATCAGTCCATTCACTGTCTGAACAGAGTTCAGCATGTTACTTTTGCACTGTTTTGCATGTTCTGGCACATGTTGTTATTGCATGGCTTGATTAAGTTACACATTAGGCTGACATCTGGGGCCAGAGCTGAAACTGTTCTGGGCCAGCCCAGGGCCAGCAGTGTCTCTACAACTGGCCTATGGCTGCACACCACCTACAGATGGCCCACATACCGCAAAGAATGACAGCCCTTTCGTGGCCCAAATCAGGTTTGCCAGAGGTAATCCACACATGGGCCAGCACAGGACAACCAGTGTGTATGCAACTGGCCTTGTGCTGTGCCCATGTGTGGGCCACCTCTGGCAAACCAGTCCCAAAAAACATATGTATTATACAGTGTTAAACAAATGAAGAGTACACCAACTGGTGTACTAAGTACTTCATAAACTGTGTTCGTCAGTTGATAAAACAAGTTTTATGTATCGATAAAACATAACTACTCTAGATACAACTCACCTCTCGTATAGCTTTAACAGACTGGGAGTGATTACTGCAGCCAGCCTCAAATAAACGTCCACAACAACAACTGTATAAAAGACTTTTTTCTTCTTTACAGTCATTGTGCCAAACCAGGGGGGAGGGCGCTGTTTCCCCATTGCACTGATAGTTGAGGCAAGTGGAAACACTGTTATGTTAGGAGCACACCGGTGACAGGTGTAGGTGATGCTTGGTGTCATGAAACACTGATGGTCTACTTTTGACTCAAGTAAAGACATGTGACCTCCAGGAAATGCTGTGTGCCTATAAAGTTTTAGCTAAAAACAGTTAAAAAAAAAAAAAAAACAGCATATTTTGCCTTCAAAATATGAGGACTCGCAGCTTATCCTCTCGTTGCAGAGCTCAGGCTGGAGCGTGTGGGTCATGCCTGCAGCTGGCTTGCTTTATTTTTGTTTTTTAATCTGCACCCTGCTGAGTCACTGCTTCCCCTAAACGCCCCGCTTTCGATTTCCATTTCCTTTAAATCGTCTGTCTTCTGGGCGACCAGCAGGTGTCGCTGCTGCGCCTCGTAACTTTTCAGCAGTTTGTCAGAGTTTTTAAGTTGAGAGGAGAAGAGGCGCCGTTTCTAATGGGAGGGGGTTTTGTTTTTGTTTTTTTTTTGAAATTGTAACTTTTACTTTGCTCTTATGAAATTCCCACTTCTCCCTGATTGGAGGAACCGGGAGAAGCGTGATAAAGACATGATGTAACCAGGAGAAATGCATCAGAGGGCGTGTGGCTGAGAAAGAGCTGGCTTTTTGACTTCTTTGTGCTAAAAATAGGTGCATTAGCTCTGGGATAGAGGCTAATTTGAATAGTTAAAAACTGATTTGCATATGCGCTGAAGCCGCTATGAAAACAAGACGAGCCGCCGATACGTGCGGTCAGTTTACATACATAATGAGGGGGGAAATCGGCTTTTAAGCGTAAAATGCCTTTTCTGGCCTCACTATGATGCATTATGCAAATCAATAAAGCGCCGTTTGATTAAAAGTTTGGTTCGTGCTGTCGCGGGGGGGGGTTTCCCGTCTGTGAGGTGACGTTACGCGCGGAGGGGGATTTCCACGCGTCCAGCAGCCAATCGCGAAGCCTGCCGGAAACACAAAAGCGGAGCACACTTAGTTCCACGCATGGCTTCGGGACGGTTTGACATTTCTCCCTGGGATCAGACAGACACTCTGAGCCGCTGTGCAGTCTAACTGGCGGTTTCAGGAGCTGTTTCAGAGTTCAGGACGAAGGTTTGGGCCGAGACGGAAAAAACCCAGAGTCATCCGGTTTGGAGAGTTCTCAAGGAAGAATTCAAGGACACGACGGTGGAGTTTAAGGTCCTCAAAGTGGTCTTAAAGACTGGACGCATGCCATGATAGACATGGACATGGTCAACGGTACCTCTGGTGGGTGGTTGTCTTTTGTAAACCTGTTGAATCTTTGCGTGTGTTTGTGCGTAAAAGCGCTGACATCATCCTGAGGCATGTGATTTTTCACAGCAGAGGAGACAACACCCCTTCCCGGGATTGACCCGCAGGACGACAATTGTTCGAGCATCAACTCTCTAGATTTCGGTGAGTGGTGGGTCTTTTTTGTTTTGTTATGTTTTGTTTTGGCTCTGCGTGCATCTGCCGGAAGCGGGGAGGCATTACGGTGACCTGAGATGACCTCTGGCAGGAGGCGTGAACCATCATCAGAGTTCCTGCCTGTTTAATCTTACGTTGTCTTATTTCCGATGTCAGAGAAGGAGAACTCAACATTTCGGACATTAAATTAAACGTGAAAAAAGTCACAACAGCTGATTTCTCTTATTTAAATTTAAATTTCCCACGTGTGGGACTAATAAAGGTTATCTTATCTTATCTAACTTTGAAAACTGTGCTGCAGATGCTTGCTTTGTTTAATGTTTCATGATTTCTGACAAAGTGTCAGACATGACAGACCACAAACACCCCAAAAGGTATATTTACCTGCAGATAACCACTGCTCTAGATTCACTTTCACTGGTTAAACTGAGGCTGGCTACATGGCACCAGGCTTGTTGTTTTTTTTGTTTTGTTTTTTTATTGGTGCAGTGCTGAAACAACGTGCCACAGATTCATGCACCAGTGACAAAAACAAAACAGAGGAAACGGTTCATGTGAGGTGGTAACCACTCAAATTCTGACACACTGTGTCTTGTGACACGTTGCCACGTCTTAAAATAGATTGCAGTAATATACTATTAGGTTTGAAAGATGTTAATGGAAGTGTTTCTGCTTTCAAATCCAAAAACATAAAGAAACAGCACAGCTGCTGCCCTAAAGTGGTGTCAGATTTTTATCACATTTGCACTTTCACTTTGGATTCACCATCAGTTTGTATTCATTCACAGACCTGATTCAAGAATATATCACAGAAAGTGAGCAGGTAGCACCCTCCCTATCTGGACTACCTGGACCACCTCCTCCACCTGCTGGCCTCCCCTGCTCGACACCAACCCCCATCCACAAACCAACGCAGACATCCAAGCCGGTGCTGGTTGCAAGAGGCACCTCGTCTAAGGTTTGTTTGTTTGTTTTTTGTTGTTGTTTGTTGTTGTTTTTAGGTGGTGTCATGCAGGGTGTTGATTTTTCTGGTTTCCAGCTCATTTCACAGTTTCGTACGTTACCCAGAAAGACTGCTGGCAACACCCAAGGGTGCCAAGCAGAGAGGTGATTGTATCAGCTGTGGGCTGTGAAAGCTGCCAGCCTGGGGTGAATAGGGGCATAATTTTTTACAGTTTTTTTTTTTTTTTTTTTTACAATTTTCTTTCTTGGCAAAATTTGTGCTCATTACTTCGATCCAGGTTCTATTTAACTAGATCAAGTCTTAATTAGTATACCTGATACTTAATTTATATAAGAGCCAGAGAAATAAATGTCAGTACATGCACCTATTTTGTAAATATTCAATCACTTTGGCTGCTATGACTGTATAACAGGTAGGAAACTGGAGTCTAAGCTGTCTGGAGAAAGGTTATGACTAATAAACAATGATAACAATAATGATGGCATTCTTATTTTTAGCCTTTTCTTATCTTAGCTGGGCAACATAAACATTAAAACAGTTAATGGATTCAGCTAAAACTTAAAACATTTTATTTATGAGAAGAAACTGTTAAAATCTGCTTTTGGCTTCTCTGATTGTTTTTTTTTTTAGGTTTTCTTATCATTTGTTTATGCAAAGCAGTCACACAGATGGGCAGGTTGTTATGCTCTTCCCTCGGTTTATTATTAGCAACAGTAGTTTTATTTCCCATATTGTCTTTGTGCTATTATTGAAAGGCGGTTGATATAAAACACGTTCAGAGGAAGCGTCTGTTCCTCCTCCTCGGCGGTGGCTGCAGCTCTCATAATAAGGCTGTTGTGAGGATTGAATGTCGGTGGTATGAAGTGCTGCATGATTCATGTGCAGCCTGCAGAGGGTTGGCTTTTTTGCTGTGTGGCACAGAGCAGCCGTTAGGCAACTCGGCAGGTCAGGCTTCTACCAGAAAGCACGTGGTTTACAGGCAGCGGGAGCTCAGAAAGACTGTAATCTGATAAGAGAGGCACTGTAGTGACCGCACAGATGGGTAATAATGAAGGGCGGTAGAAGAGTAGTTCAGCCTTCTCTTAGTGAATGAGCTGCACAGGTTATGTTGCTGGGTTTGAAGAGGTTTTGCAGCTTGTGAGGGAGCGTGGCACACCTCTTTGTGCTTTTTTTTTGTTGTTATAGAGGAGGTGGGCTTGGGGAGTGGAGAGGACATTTTGGAAGAGCTGTAATCTGACTCCTGCTTTCAGTTTGCCATCCTTTCTGTTTACAAGCCAAACCCACCGGAGGCGAAAGGTTGCATTTTTCACCCCCATGTCAGTGCTGTGATTGGCTGAAGGGCGTAAGGCTGAGCTGACTTCCTATTTCCGTTTGCTGGCTCGGTGTAGCAGGCTTTTGTTGAAAGGTCCAGTCCTTTTTTTTTTTTTTTTCTTTTCTTCTTTTGGGGAGGGGGCTAACACGATTGCAGGGGTGCATACAAACACTCTGACCAAAGACGTCTGGGGCTCGACAGGATATTATGAAACATGATCTCATGCAGAGGTATCACCCACATTTCTGCAGCGATGGTTTAATGATTCACAGCAACACGTCTGACAAAGGAGGCGACTTCTTTACTACTTTTCTTACCTGCAGGTTTGATCATTATCATTCTTATCTTCTGGTTTTGTTTTGTTTTTGGGTTTTTTTTATTAGCTACAGCAGATAGACTGCAGTGAGTCGGGTGAAACTTGATTTGTGATAACTTTGGGTTCACGGTGATGTAAGAGAAAGCAATCAGGCGCCTCGATGAGCAGAAACAAATGAGCGAGGATGGCACTGCAGAGAAAGAGAGAAACTAAAAGCAGCAAAGACAAAAAAGAGATACAAAATCTTGAGTGGGAGCGGAAAAAGCTCGGTGGTCTGCGGTGTAACGGAAAAAATAAGACATCATATGCAAGAGGAGGAGTCGCAGAGCACGAGGTTAACTCTGCTCACTGATAGAAAGCACATGTATGGAGAGAAAACAAAAAGAAACACACGCCGTGAGTCAGTTCTTTCACTGCATGCTTCATCTGTAGTGTCATCACTGCCCAAGAGACATGAGGTCGTTTTTCTTCATTAAAACTATGAAGATGTCGAGGCGGGAAAAAAAAGCTCTTTCAGCAGTAAAACCGCAACACCGTGTAACATCATTAGACTGTTAATACAGACACACTGGTGTGTAAAAAGTACCATTGTAGTATTTTAGCTTGTCAAAGTAGAGCTACTTTCAGCTGCTTTATATAGAGTGTCTCAGTTTAACATGGGGGTTCCCAAAATGGGAGCTGAGCTGCTACAAAAAGATGCAAAGTAATCATTTAGAAATATTCTGAGATATTAAATTGCATTTGTTGCCATTTTTGACACTTTTCTCTCATTGTATTTTTTTAATGGTGAAATACTGAAACATCACACTTGGTTTTTAAATTAAATAACCTAGACGTTCGGAAGGGAAACATTTTATTAAAAGGATTTTATGAAGTTGTGCTTTGAAAGTGAGTCAGTGCTTCGAAACTGTAGATATTCTTATAGGTTGTAACTGGTTGCGAATGCCTGCGTATTTGACTTGGTGACTTCATCTCCTTTACACATCGAGTGAATGAAATGTGACTGTCAGGTTTTTACTCCTCAGCCGTAAAAGGCTGATCATGTATTGTCGTCACCTCACCGAGGCCGGTGACGTGGGCACCTACGTTTGTGAATGCGATAACTTGAGGACAAGATGACGTAGGATTTTGTAATTGATACCACAGGTGCGTCTGCTGGGAGTCTGAGGGGTAGCACTGGCAGTTGCCAGTACTTTTATTTTACTGCAGAAGTTCAGTTTTTCTTCTTGGAAGAGTGTTGAGAAAGGTCGATAGTTGATGATCGGAAATCTAAAGGCATAGTTCAACTGGAGAGATGTTTCATGCTGTCAGCAAACTGACTCACTGCATTTGTACATCCAAAGCAAGAAAACCTCTGAGTGTAAATTAAGTTTTCATGAGAAACATCAAGTCGAGCCATCTGACTTTTAAATTTCCTGCTAAAACAGATGGAATAGGGAAAAGAAACCGTGGGGGCATGAGGTAAGACCAGAGCAGAAATAAAAAGCATCGAGATCACAAACATGATAAAGAAATGGTTAAAACATAAAATAAACACAAACCAGTGGGGGAAAATTAAAAAAACAACAACTATTGTTTCTTCTTTCAGATGCTTTGTGGATTTGCTTTGAAGTCTTTCGAGTACAGAAATTATCTTTACTCATTAGATCAGGTTATAAAAGACTCATCTGATGTGCATCACCAGCCTTTAGGGACAGTCGTGAGGCTTGGTTGGTTGTTGCATGTCGTCTGCATCTTTTCATTTCTGCCAGAGGTTTCTAGTGCGAGGTAAATATGTTTAAGTCACTTTTTTTTTAAATTGCTTTCTCTTGTCCCCCCCATCAGCCAGTCCTCCCTGTCATGGATATGGCATCGACTCATCCTTCCTCTGGGCGAGGGTCCTCGTGTTTGCTGAGCTCGAAGAACTCCGGCATCCCGTCCTCTCAGAACCGAGGCGACACGGACATTCTGGAGCGTGTTCTGGACAAGCCCAAGCTCGCGATAGTGGAGGAGCCCAAAGACAGAGGCATGAGGTTTCGCTATGAATGTGAAGGACGCTCGGCGGGCAGCATCCTGGGTGCATCCAGCACCCACACTGAAAAGACCCTGCCTACGATAGAGGTAGGAGTTTTTGTTTCAGAAGGGGAGTTTACACGACCTCAGAGGCAGTTAGGCACTTTTAACCACAGCTGATCCTGTTTACTCTGTTCACTTGACCCCTCCTGTCTGAAATGGGTGGAGACTGAAAAAAATGTGGTTTGTCTGAATCAATTAGAAAGTCCCCACAAATCCCAGCTCAAGTGCAGTGAGATACAAGGAGGTATATCCCCCAGCTGCTTACTAACAAACACTCCCACACACATCTACACGCCACGATCATTCACACATCGACTTGGTGGTTACCAGGTTATATAAAGTTTAGTCAAGGAAATGTCCGGTTGCATAATGGATATTAATAGAAGTGAACAATGGTGTTAACCTGTCATTATTTTTGGATGAAACTGGTACCTGAGAGGACTTAGTTTTGCTTTTATTTATATTTTTATTGTAATACATCAGGAAATCTGCAATGACCTTCTAGAAACCTATTGTTTAAAGTCTGCCCCTGAAAAATGTCTGAGGGGGAAAGAGACAAAAAATCCTGGAGCAACAGATGGAGAAGGTTAATCGTCTTTTATTTCAACTCTTTTCAAGCCAAGTTTCTCAGATGTCAGGGTTATCTGCTTTAGTTTGGCATATTACAACAGCTTTGGTCTGTTGGTCAGGGAAAAAATTAAGAACTTTAGACAACTTTTTCTGTTTTCTATCAAGAAAATCACATTAATAGGCATCACAGCTCTGAACTTATTCTGGATTTTTGCTATAAATCTTGTTCTTTTCTTTCTTTCAGATTCAGGGTTCCATCGACGGCTTAAAGAAAGTCAACGTCACAGTTTCTTTGGTGACCAAAGACCTCCCACACCGGCCTCACCCCCACTGCCTCGTGGGTAAAGACTGTCCAAATGGTACAGGGATCTGTTTTGTCACATTCAACCCTCGCAACAACCGACGTCACAGGTGAGCATTCGCCTTCGATCCCTGCCATTTTGATACCTTAAATTTCGTGGTGTGTCTTTACATTTTATTTGAACAGTTCCCCTTGTTTTTACACCCAGCTTCGCTAACCTTGGTATTCAGTGTGTGAGGCGGAAAGAGCTGGACATTTCACTTCAGAAGCGAAGAAGCCTAAATATCGACCCATTTCAGAGTGAGTGGGAGACGTATGCCAATACACCGCACCTTAATCTCCACGTTATTCTTCATTCACATATATAAAGGCAGTTTTTTCTGTCCTCACTGACTCATTTTGTCTCTGTTCTCCCCTCAGCCGGGCATTCGAAGGGCATTGAAGACATGGACATGAATTCAGTGCGTCTGTGCTTTCAGTGCGAGCTCGAGTGGCAGGACGGCAGGAAAGACCATCTCAGCCCGGTGGTGTCGAAGCCCATTTATGACAAGAGTAAGACATAACCGGACAAACACACCGAAAAGCCTTGACCGCAGTCAACCAAGCGCGCCAAAAATAAGGCAGCGTACTTCCCTATTCTCACGCTTTGTCGTGCATGTTTTTTTTTTATTCCAGAGGCAACAACTACATCACAGCTGAAGATCACCCATTTGAACCTGTATGAAGGTCCCTGCACTGGCAAGACGGAGGTCTACATGTTGTGTGACAAAGTGCAGAAAGGTAACAGGAAAGTTTTTTGAAGTTAGGTTCCAGGAGTAGATTACATAAAACAAGTCCAGTTTCCACTATTCAGAAACGCAACAAAGAGCCTGATTACAATCTAAGTTTATTTGTAGGGCTTTGGAGCTTTAGTTAACTTTTAAATGAGGTTTTTGTGTTTGTGTTATTAAAAAAAACAACCCACACACACCCACATTTTTGTAACTTAAAGTAGAGTCACATTGTGTTTTTCTTGACTAAGAGAAAGCATGTGACAGGGTGCCCAGGAAGGTGGTGCGGTGCTGCATGAGGAAGTCAGGAGTGTTAGAGAGAAGTGTGAGAGCGATGCAGGATATGCATGGGTGCACTGAGACAATAGTGTGTGGTAGGAGCGACAGACTGGTTAAAAGTGAATTTGAGAAGCTGCTTTTGAGAGCTTCTCAAGCTGGCAGATGAGGTCTGACTCTGTGGAATATTATGTTTGCGTATGATGTGTCAGTCTACACAGGGAGCTGTGGGGGTTTCCTGTGTAGAGAAAAGGAGTGAAGGTGAGAAGAAGCAAAGTAGAAAATGTGTTTTGGTGAGGTGAGGATGATGGAGGAGGTGAAGGTGGTTGAGTTTAAATACTTGGGGTCAACCATCCAGAACAACTGGGGTGTGAAAAAGAGGTGAAGAAAAGGGTACTGGGTTGTGACAGAAGGATACCAACATGAAAGTAAAAGTTAAGAAAGCAGCTGAGAGATCAGTTACATTACATGAAACGTATGAAAAGACCTGGAAGAAGCTGAGTTTGACATGCTGAGATGTTTGGAGCTCATCACAGTGACCGCTCAGGTTGGACGGTTCTGGGACAAAGTAAGAAAGATGAGCCTGAGTTTGTTTGGACATGTGCAGTGAAGACATGCAGGTAGAAAGACGCCGTCAGAGAAGAAGAAAGCACAAAGAGGAGGTGTGTGGATGTGATGAAAGAGGACTTGTAGGTGGTTTCCAGGTGGTAACGCGCCCTAAAGAAGAAAACCGTTGTGACCTAATTATTTTGAATAAAAGTATTAAAAGTTTTGATTCCTCTAAAAAAAGGTTTTATTTTTAATCTTCTTTGTATTTTGGATCCTTTTGAAACATTTCCTCATCGATTCTTAATTAAGAGGCTTCTTCGCTTCTTAAGGCGAACAGGAAGGTGGCCTTCCTGTCACTTCCTGTCAAGGGTCCTATGAGCCTAGGTGCTGACCATTACGGGGTCCCTAATGTAATAAAACCTGGGACTCCCAGAAGTGAAGAAGCTTCTTGTTAAAGACTCCCATGACCTGGATGAATGAGAACACAAACATGTTCTAATGTTTCTTGAATAATAAAGAGCTTTGCGTGTTTGGTCCTCAGACGACATCGAGATCATCTTCAGGCGAGAGTCGTGGAAGGCGAACGGGGAGTTTGCCCAGACAGACGTGCACCGACAGATCGCCATCGTGTTTAAGACTCCGCCCTACGAGGACCAAGACATCACAGAGGAAGTGGAAGTCAACCTGGCCCTGCGTCGCATCTCAGACCAGATGGAGAGCGAGCCCGTTACATTCAAGTACCTGCCTCGCAATCCAGGTCAGTCAGCACTGGACTTCCCTAACATCCTCTTCTGCCACACCAACCCTCTGCACGTCCTCCTTCACTACATCCATGAGCCTCCACTGTCTCTACTCCCTGTAGATTCACTTTTCCGCCGGTCTCCCTCCTTCTTCTGGTCATAAAGTCCACTGTCCTCTCTCCTATACATCTCTACACTTCCACACTTATGTCATCAGGACCAGCCACCTTTCTGTTCTTCCTCCTCTTCATAGCTGTCCTCACTTCCTCCTCGCTGCACTTTCATGTTCATTAACTGTCCTCTGTCTTTTTTCTCTCTCAAAGTACTCCTTCCACCTTCTCTGCACACTCTCCTTACTCGTTAGTACATTTCCATCCTGCTGCACATCCTTTCCAGCTCGATCACTCTGTTTAACCAATCAAAACAAACCTTTATCTCCTTTCTTGGTGTCCAGCCTCACATACAACTCACTGTAAGCCTCTTTGAATACTTTCCTGTACGTCCTCATTCCACCATTACGTCACCGGCCACCACCATCTTTCCTTCGGCATTCCTTGATACCATTCCTACTCAACACTTCCTCATCACCTCTCTTCCCTTCATCTACATGTCCATTGAAGGTCTGTCCTACTCTTTCCCCCCTTGGGGACACTTGCTCCAGAACTCCCCTCTCTTTTCTAAATGACATCCAACCTGTGGGGCATACGCACAGATAACAATGAAAACCACCCCTCTGATTTCAACCGTCACACCCATGATCCTGTCTGACACTCTCTGCGCGTCCACAGCACTATGTACACCACAATAGAACATTTTGAATCCACCTCCAGCGCTCCTGGCCTTTCCACGTGGTCTCCTGCACACGCAATACAGCCACCTTCTTTCTCTCCATCATGTCAGCCAGTTCTCTCTCCTCTTTACCAGTCATAGTGCTCACAAATTAAAAAAACAGATGCAGCAGATTATTGCTAAACACTGACAGCGTTTCATTTCTCATTTCAGACCCGTACGAGGTGAAGCGGAAGACAAGGCTAAAGTCAGAGGTGAACCTCAAGGAGAAGCCCTGTGTGACAGGTGAGGTTCAGACTGTCAGTTTGATCTTTGTGTTTTTACAATTCAGCATGTGAACGGTTTGACTGGGGTGTGCCACCTATCTGGCTCCGTGTTTACATATTCTCACTCAAAATATTGTGACTTAATACAACAGGAAAAGCACAGCAAATCAACATTTTAAATCTAAACTTTTTGGATTTCATCATGCAAAAAGCATAAAGTACCTTTAAGTGAATACAATTATTTTTATTTTAACTTGACACTCAGTCCAGATTAAAGCTATTCACAATCATGTTCAAACTGCTTGTTAAATGATAGCCAGTCTTCTCAAAATCCAGGTTTAAACTGTAGTCTATCTGCCTGACTTCAAGAACCACAAAGCCCCTTTTCCACTGATGCAGGACCAGTCCATAATCTAGAACCTGTTCCACATATTTCCCCTGAAAAAGGGCCGGTGGCATTGTGGCCCAGGTTGGTGCCACAGAATTGCTGACACCAAAACTGAAACAAAATTAAGTGTGCAGGAATTTCACCCATGACTAGCAGATGCATTTTTTATTTATTTTTTTGCATGGAAATTACTCCAAAACCTGCTAGTAGCGTTTGGGTCTCAAAGCTTTTTTTTCCTGAGAAAGCCCCCCACACCAGCTCCACACCAGCGCTGCATTGGTGGAAACGAGGTGCAAGTGAGCCATTCATTTATTTTCCTGTGGAAAAAAAGGGCGTCTTGGTCACGCTCACTTGGGTAAATTACAGAAACCTCAGTGGAACAGTTGAGTTGGTGTTTGTGCCATTAACCACACCTACTAAGAGTCAACACGTCTGCTGTGAAGATGCACTATTAGACACATGGCAGCTTCTGTAATTGGGACGAATCACAATGCCCTTCAAAAAAAAATCACACTTAATCATTTTCTGTCTACTCATCACTGCATGATGAAGAACAGATCACATGCTAACATGACATTTGCCAAAAATGCCAAAATCGACCGCTGGAATACACAGACGTGACAAAAGAGGAAGTGGTCAGCCACAAATACTCCTTATGTGACATGTCATTTCTATGACTGATTATCACATGAAGATAGACTAGAGTTTTATGTGTTATACATATATAGATACACCAAACAAGATAAAGATGGTAATAAAAGCACAAAGGGGTTAAAAGCAACAGGGTAAACTGTACAAAAGGTTAAAACTAAAGAGCAGCAAGTTCCACCTTCATGAAGGCTTGTTTTGGTTGATGTCGACTCAGCTGTGGGGTTGTTTTGGAGGTTTTTCCACACAGTTATTTCCATTTCATAGCCTGGTCTGACTGATATAAACAAGGCAAAACAGTCCTTGTGGCATAAAGTACTACAGATTAACAATGAGACAAACACCTTTCAAAATGATCACACAGCTGGCTCTGCACTTCTCCTCAAAGGTTTCCCGTAATCTCAGTGAAGACCTTTTTCAAGACTGGCAGCTGTGTGTGTGTGCTTTTTAAAAAAGGTCGAGAATCACATGTCACAATCCAGGTACAAAGTCCTCCGTCTAATAACTGACCATTCATCATGTTTCTAACAGCTTTGTTTTCTCTGTAACGTAATCTGTTTCAGCCAAGAGCGCACCTGCATCAAATCAGGTCATCCAGTTCCTCCCAGAGGCCCAAAACATGATGTCGCCACAAGAGCGGTCGCACCCTGTCCTGCCCGGCATACCCGCTGCGGCGGAACCGCGTTACTGCAATCCAGTCGATTCAAACACAGACGAGGCGGCCCTCTACAACCAGTTGGTAGACATGCCTGAATTTTGGGAGGTCTTCAATAACCCAAACTTCTCCTCACTCGTGCCTGGCAACTTGGACATCACTGCCTCCGCCTTTGCTAATGTGGATATGAACTTCAACCAGAACTCCGGCTTCCTGCAGGACTTTTCCCATTACAGTGACTTGCAATTCAACATGCTCGTCAGCGAGAGCCAGAACCCGCAGTTGGAGCCGCAGGATAGCACGGTTCAGGTGAAAACGGAAGAGGAACTTTGAGGATCGTGTAGCACCGTTTACAGCTGTTTCTGTTTCTGTCATCTTTTAACATCTTGGTCACTTCCTTGCTGACAGTTTTATGTCACTGCCATGTGAGCACATTAAGCTAGTTTACCGCTTCCCCTTGTTTCTAGAACTTGTGCTAAGCTAACAAGCTATCGCCTGCTTTGTTTTTAGTATGAGACTGGTACTGATTAGCGCAGCAGAAAACTGAAACCATCCTTCAAAAGTGGATACAAGTGCCAAAATGCACATGCTTGTCTCTCTGGAGTCAAGTTTGAAAAATCCCATCAGCCACTTGAACTTTCATCACAGAATATCATCCATTTAATACATTTCAGAGGTTTTCTCTTGATTTTTTAATGGATTTGACTTTAAGTCAAAGGTCTAACTCCTACTTAAACAAAATAACACGTTACATGCTGCTCCGATGGTCTGATGACAGTTAAGGCTGCGCATAGCTCTGCAGGCCGAGAGATTCCACTTTAACCCCTTTGATGGCACTGGTTCAGAGCTCCTTTATCCTTGGCTCAGTGCTCTCATGCTGGCACACGTATCCAGTTCATCCCAGACAATGGGTGAGAGGTGGGGCTCGCCATTTACCGTCACACCACTTTAGAATCGCCGGAGACCCACGCACAACTGCGCTGCTAAGCTGTTTGTTTTATTGGCTTACTCATGTCTAAACACAACAAGTTAGTCAGTACTGAACACTTAGCTAAGTTTCACACCAGTGATCATCAGTGTCTGATCTTCTGTGACAACTTACAATCAGTTTTGGGTTTTTTTTTCCATCTGAGTGTTTTCTGTTTGAGCTGGCACTCAAAGCAGTTTTTTCACTGTAAGCCACACACACAGACGTCAGATTCTATTAAAAGTGGTCCAAGGAAGGAACAATGGTGATGCTGTGGCCTCTTTCAGCAGGATAATACACCTTGCCACAAGTAAAAAAAAGGTTCAGGAACATTTTAAGACATTGACTTGGCCTCCAGATTTCCCAGATCTCAGTCTAATCGAGGATATGTGGGAGCTGCTGGAGGTCTGCGCCTCGATGGGTCAGGGCTATTTTGGCAGCAAAAGGGGAACCAACACAGCATTAGGCAGGTGGTCATAATATTGGGCCTGATCAGCAAGCTGTTTGTTCAGCTTTTTCAGTTCGTTCACTTCTCATTAGCACACAGGGACCTCCCACCACCAGTCACCTATATTATGTCGTCTGTCATTATCAACTTGAAATGCTGTCAAATGTAAATGAGAAACTAGTGAATATAAAAAATAACAAACGCTTCGGCTATCTTGAATCAGAGAAGAATATATGTGGCATTTTTGGTGCTTGTATCCACTTGTGAACAATCTTCCTGTAGTGAGTTATCTGCTGCGCTTGCTCTGCTAGACTGCAAAACCATTATGGAGCAGAGCGCCTTCTTTCCTGCTGCTGCTTTGCACTTTGTTGCCCTGTATTTAACCCCGTACCTTTTTTTTTTTTCTTCTTTTGCTCCCAAAGCCTTGCTGGCCAAGTCTTCGGGAGCAAGTTAGCATTCCTTATTTTCCATAAGTGCTGCAAGCATTAATTTAAAGCCTACATTCAGTGTGGAGTTTAAAAGGAGAACTCAAACTTCTCCACAAAAGCTGTAAACTTCCATAATTGCAGTCTGTTTTAATTGCAAGGTGAGACTAAAATGGCACGTATTAAATGTTTGTGCGACATTTGTTTTGTTTGCTTAGCTGAAGCTGCCGGCAGCATAAAAGGGTTTGGTTTTTTTTTAATCACCAAAAGTCTCAAGTACAGCAGTTTGGGATCAATTCTTCTTTGTCCCTGTCTGTTATTGCTCTCTGTTGGCTGCCACAGCCGCTGGCTTGTTTAATATTTAATCAACATAAATGTAATAGAAAACAGCCCTTTTCCTATTTCTGGCTTTCTTTGTGTCAGTTCCTTTTGTTTGTCAGTTTCGCTCTTGTGCTAAGCATTCAAATTTCCAATCGCACCTTATCACATGTCTGCCCACAGTGTAGTGCAGTAGTCGGAGAAAAATAAAATGTCTGTGTGTAACTTTTGTTGTGTCATTACTTCCTGTTGAGGCAGAGTGAGAGGGAGAAATAAAAGATTAGAGTGTGTTAAAGGGGATGTAGGCGCTGCGATTCAGCTGCCGCCCACACACATTCCTGAGCTGCTCTCTCACTTATAAAAACAATGATTCTTGGCAGCTTCGACATCTCCGAGATGCTTTTCGGCTTGTCACGTCGTAGTTTTAAATATCTTCAATGCCTCAAGAGAACCTTGAAGTACTTGTTTGTCCAACCCATTAGACAGAAGCCCCGAGGATATAAATCGCCCTATTGTTTATGGCTGTGAGACACCTTGAGGTCGCTTTAGTCACAGCCTCTCAAAAGAAACAATAGTTGTTGTTTTTTTTTTTTTCTTTCTTTTCTGCCTAAAACATGACTATCACTTCTCACAGTAATCCAGTCTGGGAACATGCCCTATTTGTGCTTTCCTCTTTAGTTTTTGTGGACTCTGGTGAAACACCAATCTTTTGTAACTCCGTTGCTTTTGGGGAAACTTGGCGATTGAGACACACAGGGATGTTAACCTTACTCATTTTATTATTAATACATCTGCTGCGTGGTGACAGTGAGCGGAGATATACTTAACATGGTCACAGAGGCCGAGGGGCTTCACAAAGATCCAGTATACGATAAATAAGGAATTATTGATTTTGAGCTGTCATGCAAACAAACTCTGGTAGAGTCCAAGAATAAAAATGTGGAGCATAAGTATGCCAGAGAACTAAGGCTTTACATTTTGGGACATAATAACAATAATCTTGGCCTTACCACGTCCTAAAACACGGTTAATACACCGAAAAATGATTGACACAGCATTAAGTATTACACAGGTTCATTACTTAACAAAAGCCAAGATGCCAAAGCAGTGCGAGGAAAGACTAAGTACACCCTTACTGCTTCCATAGGGATTAAAAGGAAAGGATTCGCCAAGTGCTGCTAATAAAATAAACTCAATTAATTGTGAGGACCTCTATGAACCTCTATGTCAGTTTGCTGGTCTGCAGCATTCAGATGTGTGTTAATACACCACTGAGAGGAGGATAGACATCAGCAATGATCGTAGAGAAGCAAATGTTGCTTCCCATCAATTTGGGGATGGTTGTAAGGCCATTTCTAAATAATCTAAACTCCATCATTCAGTCCCCCAAAGTCAGACTGTGGAGGAAAACTGCAAAAAATGCAGAAGGGTTACATCTCAGACTCTCTGTTAGTATGTTTAGGTCACGTTTAAGCCTTAGGTCACGAACAGTGGTCCAAAATTATTTATTTATTTAAAGATATTGCTACTAAAAGCGGATTTCCAGGCTTTAAATCCTGGGGTGTACTCAGTTCTTCTCACTCTGCCCCTGCATTTGATCAAATAAGTAAGGGTGCAGTGTAACTCATTCATCGGAGGTTGTATTTGCCTAATTTTAAGACTTATTAAGCACCAGCGATTTTTATTAATGTTCCAATAGAACTGACAGCGGGTGTCCTTTTTTTTAAAAGTACTAATATTTTCTTAAATCAAGCCTAGAAGGCTTTTTCAGCAGTAGCATTTAATATGAATATTTAGTTTTCATCCCTTTATAAAGTGGTTCCCATTGTTGCTTTCAGTGTCTGCCCTTTTTAAATGATCATGACACAAGTTATTAAGACATTTTTATACACTTGTGTTTGCTGAGTGGTAAAGAGATCGTTGTAGCTGTGCTTTAATATCCGTATTTGACTGTGTGCATCCGTTTTCTTCAGGTTAAGTAAAGCAGAAGTTAACGTTTGTTGGCCCCATCCATCACCCAGGAGCATACTCCAGTTACAGCCTCTGGGAAACTCCACACTGAGCTCATCTCTAAGACCTTTGATCCTATGTAAACAGAGAGAGATGCACTTTATTTCCTGTGAAAGGGTGCTGTGTAACCAGCTGCTAAGACCTGTCTAGACTTGTCCACTGGATCTGTTTGCCTTAGACAGTAAGGGCTTTTTAAGATTTTCATCTTGTATGAAGGAAAAGCTTTTCTGCTTAAACCCAGGATTGATCAGGCAGCTTCCTTTGGAGGATGAATTCAATTTTAATCAGTTCATCTTTGGGTGATATTTTTCTAATAATCACATAATTGTTTGTTTTAATGTCTGAATTCACACAGCCGAGAATTATAATCTCGAATCTGAGAAGAAGAAACCACTTAGCGCCTGGCACCTTATCGCTTACTCCTAAAAAACCAAACATGTCCTTATCATCGGCGGTTCTTCTAGTGAATGGCCCCTTTTTAAGCCACCAGTAACTCTCAAGAAAAAAAAAAGTGCTGATCTTAATCTTCCCTTTTTTCCTCAGCCTAATAAACCACCAGTTTCTGTCTCTGGCTTCAAACAGAAATGGTCTGAACTTTACATTTCTGGGACATGCAGATATCTCAGTATGTCTGTGGAGTATCTGGCGAGTGCTGAGCCGAGAGAGTGAGTCATGTTTTGTGGAAAGACGAAAAAGAGGTATCTCTCTTTCAGTGGTATCTCTCAGATGAACTCATGCTGACTTTCCATTTAATTGACTTTTTTTCCCTCCTGTAGTTACGCCACAGCAATTAGATGTACACAACTGATTACGAGAAACTGATACAAGTTCCTGTAAGTGAAAAATCCGTTCAGTTTCATTTATATAAGGCCAAATCACAGGAATGAGTTTCTCAGTGTGCTTTTCACAATATTAGAGAGAAAACTCAACAATCAGACCTGTGAGCAAGTGTTTGATGACAGAAGTCTGGGCGGAACTCATTTTTAGATCAAGGTCAAGTTTACTTGTGTAGCACATTTCAAACGACACAGCTTGGCCATAATGTTTCCCAGGCAGCCAATAATAAAATGACAAAAAACAAAACCAATTACCTAATGTCAAGGTTTAGCTCAACTTAAAGGCCAGAGATTAGAAATGGGTCTTGTGCAAAGAGTTAAAAAACAGTTCTAACATGAAACGGTGAGACAATCAGAGACAAAAAGCTCAGTCACTTCTATTATATCTCTATAAGCCTAGCTTTTGGAATATAGAGGATCTGATCTGATCAGTAGATAGGAGTGTGAACATGAGTGAGATCAGACAAATACACAGGTGCCACCCACTCAGAATTTAAGAAATCTCTGCTGACAAGACGAAACCCTCCCCCTCACAGAAGCATCTAGAGCATTTAAAATATGCTGAGTGACAAAAATGACAGACTGTGACTCTGAGAGGAGCCTGATTTTATACAGATGTTGAAAGTCACTAAAAGAATGCCAATAGCGAAGACAAAGAAGCTGTGAACACCTGCTTGTTGTGTGAGAAACATGCAAGAAAGTCTCTGTCAGAGGTCCAACACAAGTCACATCCCGGCACCACCCCCAGGCAGCACAGGTACCCCGAAAGTGGGAGCCTTAAGTTAGACACCCCTGCTGTAATGTTTTTAGCACCATGTCAATCAGCTTCAGTCGCTCGTTTTGAAGTTTAAAGAGTTATTTTGCCAATAATGATTTGAAATCGCTGAATATGACTGACTTTCTGTATTTATGCACATCACTTCCTGTGTGGAAACCTTACGGGCAGCAGGGGTCGACTCCTCGGCTGTAGAAACAAGTCAGACTGTAAAGACATCTATGAGAAAATGACCAAACTATGACATCAATCAGCAGCTTCAACTCTTATTAAATACAACACTGTTTTTTCATGGTTAAATTTGGAGTAAAATACCATGGAGCAGTTTATAGCACATATGGCTAATTTTATCTGGGTTGTTCCACCCTCTAAGGTTAAGGTCACCAAACCAGAAAATCTTAGGAAATGAAAGCACTTAGTCAACAAAAACAGAGCTAAATTACTTCCTTAAAAACAACCGTCAGATTTCCCTTTCACAAAAAGCATCTGCATTTGGAATAAAATACAAATACAGTGCTGAATACTCAGTTCACTGCACTACAGATAGCAAATCCGGTCAAAGTTGATGACCCCAACTCGTATTCATTGTTTTAGACGTGAGAATAAAACACTTTCTGGGGGAAAATGTAGTTTTGATGCCTCACAGTAAGAATTATTATGATCACTATTTTGTCCAGTGATTACCAGCACTTGGGAGAACATAATATATCATGCAGTTATGGTGAGGACTTAAGGCTTAGACATCACAGGTTTAATCACAGATGATGCACCATGCTGCCCCACGTATGTGAAGGAAATACTGGTCACACCAATTTAATTAATCAAGGACCGGCCGTGAGTTTGATCCAGATCCAGCTGGTGATGCGGAGTTTTATGGTCAAACATCCATAACTTCAATGTCTGGTTTAGCTTAAAGTGAGTGAAGCTGAATGTGACGGATGCTCCTGTGTGACAGCCTACCAAAAAAGGAAAAAATACCGAATATGGCACTTTGTGCCTCACTTTCAGACCTTGTTTTGTCACTTTGCCTCTCCTGAATATGCATCAGGGGGTAATTCCAGGCAGATGCTGCATAAGCACCGAACCTTTCTGTTTACAGCTGGCAGGCATCGTCTCTGTTGCCTGGTTACAACACCCACGGGAGTCCCCACACTAGTAGGGACTCGCCACCTTTCCCACAACAGCACATTTCAACCACAAAGCTACTGAAAGCGAAACCAGGCGAGAAACGGCTGCTAATGTTTTCAAAATTCTGACATCTTTTTTTCCACTGGTCACCTCGAGCTCCATAAAAGGACCTTTGCTCCCCCCCTGATGCTTTGACAGAGAGACGTGCGGTTTGTTGCATCACTTGTTTTGATAGTAGCACTTGTCAAAGTCTTCAAGAATAAAACCCCGAGAAATAAACAGTTTTTTTTAACAGACTGTCAGACTGTCAACGTTTAAGAGCTTTTTTCGGGGGAAGGGAGGTGGGACGTAAAAACATTTTTTAAAAGGATGGAAATGATTAAATTAACTGTAAGGGGATTATAATAAAGAAACAATTGGCTCCGTATGTCCCAACGTCAAGTAATTTGAGTCACTTTGGCGCCATCTAGTGGAACATGTCTACATTTTGAGAAAAGTGTTTGTCTTTCATTCAAATTGTTTCTGTAGAGGCTTCAGATGAAATACAAAACACTTTCAGTGAATGAAATACAGTCATTTTAAAAAGAAATGTCTCCACGCAGAGCACAGCTGATATTTGTACTTGTTTTACAGCCACATGACCTGGACACCTTCTAGTCACTAGACTGATGCAAACTGCTGTACATACCATAGTATTATAGCGTCCAATGTGAGACCACCTGTCTGACATCTAAATCCTGGCTGAAATTGGGTCAGAAAACAGCAAATATACAGCAGTAAAAGAAAAGAAACACGGTGCTTTGGTGTCCCAGAGTTCAGATCTCTGCCTGATTTAAATTCTGTGATTCTTTACAGATATTTTTGGTCTTAAGGCCTGAAGTCTTAAGGCATTTATTCCCTATTAAGTTTCATGGGAAACTGATTCTTATCAACTGTGACTGTAAGGATTATATATTATATGTCATCCTTTAAGAAGATTATTTTACACTGTAAGAAATAACAAACAGCACTCAACATTCAGAGGGCGATTGATCACCAGTGATTGTGTCATTTTAGATGAACAGCTTGTGCCGTTCACAGGGAGGTGCAAGTTTCTACAATGCATGCCAAACAAGTATGGCCTAAAGATCTTCTGAGTTTATGATGCATGCATCCCCTATGTAATATAATTATATTGGGAGACAGCAAGGAGAAGAAGTTCAGAAGAATCTGGGGGAAAATCTTGTACTGCAGTTGTCCAGTAGATTCAGAAACACAAATCACAACATCGCCACAGACAATTTTTTCTCTTTGCGAGAATAGAAATGAGGTGAAAGCCCTTTTTCATGCTTGCTGGAGGCTGTTAACCATTTTATTCACTCAGTGATTTTTCTTTTCCTGAAATAACTCGATACCAATGAAGCCACTCTGAGGCTGAAGTAGGAGTATTGCTTTGCTGACTCATTCTTAAACAGACCAACAAATTATACAGCTTTCAAACAACAAGCCCAAGCACATGCAAGCTACTTGAAGGCACTCTAAACAAGGAAAGGTAATTGACATGCACAAACCAAAGGAACTGTTACTGACCTCTTGTACTTAAAATTTTGAAAGCTAGCATCCTTTATTTTAAACCCATTGTGGTAGTTCACAGAATTATAAAAACAGCCTCAACTGATAAATATTTCTGAAAAGACTAGCACTCAGAGAGAACCCTCAAAGTCACAGGATGAACATGCAAATTGGATTTGAACCCAGGACCTTCTTACTCTGTAGTATTAGTACTAATCACTGCAGTCATAAAGGACTAAACCTATTCACACGACTGTCTGCTCTCCCTCTGGCATGAAGATTAAGAAATTATGAATCAATATTGTTTTCACAAGTCAAGAATATTGAATAAATAACACACAACAGACATATACTAATGCAAATACCTTTGTGTGCTTTTTAGGTAGGCCTATAGTATTGCTGCTGTTATTTTAAATTTTTTCAAATGCTTTACTATTTTATTTTATTTTATTTTATTTTATTTTATTTTATTTTATTTTATTTTATTTTATTTTATTTTATTTTATTTTTATTTTTTTATTTATTTTTTATTTTATTTTCCTTCATACGGAGGTAAACTTCTTGAATGTTTACTCTAGGTGGCGCTAAGCTGTTTAAAGTTATTTGTATACTATGTTTTTTAAAAAGCGAAGAAGAAGAAATAACAGCTAGAAAATGGGTTTGGGGCGAAGCTAGCTGTTAGGCTAATGTAAATATTCACCAAGAGGAGACTGGAGAGCAACTGAAGATAGCGTTACAAGAAAGCTTTGCGTACGTTGACACGAAATGTACGTAGTAACGTAACGTTGACCTGGCTTGCAGTCTTAGCGAGCTATGATAGCTCAGTAATTAGCCTGTGTTAGCACTGGTTACATTGCTGGCTATAGATTAGCTTATTGAATTGTCATTCTGGACCGTAACATAGGCTAAAAGGGTCTGTTAGAAACTCCAGGAAACATTTGTCGCTAAGAGACAGCGGTGTTTGGAAAGGGTAAGCTTCAGAGTCCTACACCGACTATTAGCGTGCTAATCACAGCTTAGCTCATAGCTGGGGGCATTCCTTTAGTACAACCCAGCAGTCGGCAAACTTTAATATAAGAAGAATTATTTTTTAAAAGTTTCTGACCAAAATAAAAGTCGGTTTGAATCCTTAGTACACATTTAAGACGTATAATGAAGCTGTCGCGGCTTGTTAAGCAGAAATTCGCCTCTCAGCATTACTAATAGGAGTAATGTATTATCAACAAAACACAACCATTATAAAATGAAGGGAAGAACACTAGCATATACAGAGCTGCTTTGAAATAGAGTAGCCTTAAAGCTTTGCAGGCCTCTTGGAGTGTTATGTGTTTGTGCAGTTGACTCAAATTAAAGCTCGTCTTCACTAATAATTATAAGTAAAACGTATACTACAGTAAGTTTCACAGTAGTAAAAATAAATATAAAGGAGTTTAAGTCCAGCTGCAACGACTGAATGACGTTCTCAGCTTTTGTGTATTGTAGAATGTATTTGTAGTATATTTAGATTCAGCAAAGCACAGTTGCTGTTCAACTTTTTAAAGTTTTATCACTTCTGTCTCCACTCAGTAGTCCTTCCTTTTAAAGAATGATGAGCCAGCGGCGTGGGATCCATCTGGACCAATCAGAGCTGCTATGCAAAAAAGGATGTGGTTTTTATGGCAACACTGCTTGGCAAGGCCTGTGCTCAAAGTGCTGGCGAGAAGAAAATCAGCGAGAAAAGCAAAAACAGATTCAGGAGGACTGGGCACTCGCTGAAAGGTTTGTTTACCTTCTTGTCTCCTATGTGAGACTACTCAGAAAAACAAATTTGTTACAAGCTGTTCTGTTCTCTTACCGCTAGATGTACTCAGCTTCCTCTTACAGTAGGCTGTCCAGCTGCGCAGTATTACAGTTCTACTATTCTTTTTAATTTTTTTCCTCACAGGTTGCAGAGAGAGGAAGAGGAAGCATATGCAAGTCGACAACAGAAGACCCAATCACAGCCTTCCATTACACCTTTTAGCAAGTTTGAGGAGAGAAAGACTAAAGAAAAGTCCAGCAAAGTCAACACGGTCACAAAGTTTTTTATTCCGTCCACAAAAACACCACCAAAAAAAGGTACGTACTGTAGCAAACAGGCAGCTGCTAGAAACTCTGGTAGGGCTTTATGTTGCAGTGCAGTAATAACATCCCGATAAAATAAAATAAATCCAAAAAAGGATAAATATTCTACATTTAATATCTGCTACAAAAATAAAATATTTAGCACAAAATTTATTTCAGCTTCTCCTCTTTCAAGAGTTGCCACGAAATCTGATTAAAATATCTGAAAAACATGTGCAGTGTTTGGATTAATTAGCTGCCCCACTCACAGAGACGCAGCATGATCAGAAATTAAAGTAAAAGGAAGTCATTTTAAAAGCTGAGGAATTAAGAAAAAAAGAAAAGAAAAAAACAGGAGAAAAAGAAGAAATTTCCAAACAGCAGACAAAGCTCCTCCATCAGTCACAAGTTATTTTGCTGCGACTCTGGTCTCGTTTCTTCATTCCACATTTGTCTTTACTGTTCTTTCACGTAGTAATGCTGCTCCTCCCAGCTGTTGTGCTACGTGGCATGCTAGCATTACCCAGCATGTGGTTTGACAGTGTAATTTTGTAAATGTGTCATTATTTGTCACAGTGGTTTGTGCGTTATGATGTCTGCCCTGTTGAAGAGAGTTAATGTTAAAGTATTAATGGTTTTCTTTATGTTAAATTTAGTGGAAAATGTTTAGAAACCTCAGTGAGAAGAATATTCCCTCAGCAAGTATAAAGCTATTCAGTTAATAGAGTTTCCCTCTCAATACGCGCTTCAGCACTCTTTAACAGTCAATAATATGTTATACATGCATGAAAATATACTGCCAAGCATTATATTGAGGCAAAATCATAAAGTAAAACTTTGGTTGTAAATACAATAACAACTATTTATTTCAGCTTCTCCTCTTTCAAGAGTTGCCACGAAATCTGATTAAAATATCTGAAAAACATGTGCAGTGTTTGGATTAAAATGTTAATATAGTTAATTCAATTATTGAAGTAGGCTGATAATAATGAGGTAAATTTGGCAGATGTTTTCATATTATGCTGTTATAAGCCACCTTCAAGATTACTTTAAAGTTCTTGTATGCGTGAAGGTAATAATGTAAAAATTATGTTTAATCCTTTAATTAGTGGATGTGCATTTTCTCTAATAATGAAAGTAGAAGCTTATAAAACCAAACATCAAGATGCATGGTTTTTTTTTTTTTTATCTGGAAGCACTTTCTAGTTTCTGTAATAAATTGATACCGCAGTATTACCATGTTGGTACTGAGCTGCATTATGAAGTGCTATTATAGTTTTAATCTATATTTTGTGTCTTTATAGTGTTAAAAGTTTACAATGCTGTTGAGAAAATGAGGATATAATGAAAATGAGTTTGTTTCAGTAAAAGTATTTCTTTGCCTTAATGCTTTACAATTTACCCGTTAAGCTGGAAAATCACTACACGCACAGATTTGTGTGTGGTGATCTTTGCCCCGTTGAAGAGACCTGTTTAGTTTAACCTAAATACAATCTGGTTGGATAAATGTGTTCTGGTACAGCACTAGCTGCTGTATGTGGTTTTGAGCTATTAAGAATACATGCTTGAAGTATCTGTAACTGATTAAAGTGACAATAAATTATCATTCTGCAGATGCTGCACCTTTTGACCCGCAGTCCAGCCCGAGCCCCAGCTCATCCACAAGCCGAAAGTCATCTGTGGACAGTGATATCGCGACACGAGAGTTTATTGATTTTCTTAAGCCTCTGAAGTCTGGCAGGGAGATCTTCAAACAGTGTCGGGCCTTCACTGAGACCATGGTCTACAAGCGGGTGGGTTTTGATTAGATATACAAGACTCAAATAACTCAAAACTGTTTGTGAAAATTCAGTTTTCATTTCATGTTCATACTCAAATTCACACAACACTGGTGTAGCAGTTATAGTTAACCACTTCAAATTGGCTTCAAATCAAATGATAAAGGCAGTATTTTGGTGTTGTAAGGAAAGATTTACTTTTTTTTAAACCCAAAAGTTGGGAAATCCCTGCGTTACAGCAGGTAAAACATGAAAAACAAATACAATGTTCTAAATCAAAGAAGCTCAGATTGGTATGAAGAATGAGCTCGATTAAATAGAAAATACAAAAAAGTGAATCTAAATGAAATACAGGTTGGAAAAAAAATTGAAGGTCTTTTGTGAGAATCTTGAGAGTTGATTCAAACTGAAGTGAAATGGCAGCAGCGATGATGGGAGCAGCAGATACAGTGGGGCAAAAAAGTATTTAGTCAGCCACCGATTGTGCAAGTTCCCCCACCTAAAATGAGGTCAGTAATTTGCACCAGAGGTACACTTCAACTGTGAGAGACAGAATGTGAGAAAAAAAATCCATGAATCCACATGGTAGGATTTGTAAAGAATTTATTCGTAAATCAGGGTGGAAAATAAGTATTTGGTCAATAACAAAAATACAACTCAATACTTTGTAACATAACCTTTGTTGGCAATAACAGAGGTCAAACGTTTACTATAGGTCTTTACCAGGTTTGCACACACAGTAGCTGGTATTTTGGCCCATTCCTCCATGCAGATCTTCTCGAGAGCAGTGATGTTTTGGGGCTGTCGCCGAGCAACACGGACTTTCAACTCCCGCCACAGATTTTCTATGGGGTTGAGGTCTGGAGACTGGCTAGGCCACTCCAGGACTTTCAAATGCTTCTTACGGAGCCACTCCTTTGTTGCCCGGGCGGTGTGTTTTGGATCATTGTCATGTTGGAAGACCCAGCCTGCGTTTCATCTTCAAAGTTCTCACTGATGGAAGGAGGTTTTGGCTCAAAATCTCACGATACATGGCCCCATTCATTCTGTCCTTAACACGGATCAGTCGTCCTGTCCCCTTGGCAGAAAAACAGCCCCATAGCATGATGTTTCCACCCCCATGCTTCACAGTAGGTATGGTGTTCTTGGGATGCAACTCAGTATTCTTCTTCCTCCAAACACGACGAGTTGAGTTTATACCAAAAAGTTCTACTTTGGTTTCATCTGACCACATGACATTCTCCCAATCCTCTGCTGTATCATCCATGTGCTCTCTGGCAAACTTCAGACGGGCCTGGACATGCACTGGCTTCAGCAGCGGAACACGTCTGGCACTGCGGGATTTGATTCCCTGCCGTTGTAGTGTGTTACTGATGGTGACCTTTGTTACTTTGGTCCCAGCTCTCTGCAGGTCATTCACCAGGTCCCCCCGTGTGGTTCTGGGATCTTTGCTCACCGTTCTCATGATCATTTTGACCCCACGGGATGAGATCTTGCGTGGAGCCCCAGATCGAGGGAGATTATCAGTGGTCTTGTATGTCTTCCATTTTCTGATGATTGCTCCCACAGTTGATTTTTTCACACCAAGCTGCTTGCCTATTGTAGATTCACTCTTCCCAGTCTGGTGCAGGTCTACAATACTTTTCCTGGTGTCCTTCGAAAGCTCTTTGGTCTTGGCCATGGCGGAGTTTGGAGTCTGACTGTTTGAGGCTGTGGACAGGTGTCTTTTATACAGATGATGAGTTCAAACAGGTGCCATTCATACAGGTAACGAGTGGGGGACAGAAAAGCTTCTTACAGAAGACGTTACAGGTCTGTGAGAGCCAGAGATTTTCCTTGTTTGAGGTGACCAAATACTTATTTTCCACCCTGATTTACGAATAAATTCTTTACAAATCCTACCATGTGGATTCATGGATTTTTTTTCACATTCTGTCTCTCACAGTTGAAGTGTACCTCTGGTGCAAATTACTGACCTCTGTCATCATTTTAGGTGGGGGAACTTGCACAATCGGTGGCTGACTAAATACTTTTTTGCCCCACTGTAACACAGTCACGCTCCCGTGGCAAGTAGTTTGAAGTTCAAGCAGAACTGCTAGTAAATGTTGTTGATCAGATGTATTATGAATGTATCCATTTAATATGCCCTTGTGTTTTCTGCAGGTAATATCTTCAAGACTATCAAAGTTTTACACTCCAGTTATATCAAGGCTGAATTTATATTATTTCTTATTCCTAATTCAGGACATCGGAGCTGATGAGCTGTCAGAGTGCGTGCAGGACTTCTACCAGAACCTTTCAGAGCGCCTCCAGACCCAGTTCAAAGGTGCTGCGTCACTCTTACACCCAACAAGAATCTGCTTTAAATGAAAAATATTAACAGTGTTACTGGGTATGATTTTGATTTAATGTCTATTCTCTGGGCTTCTTTTTGTAGGTTCGTCTGATCAAGTAGAGTGTATTATGGATGAAGTCGAAAAGTACATAATGACTCGTCTCTACAAGGAAGCCTTCTGTCCAGAAACAACTGATGATGAGAAGAAAGACCTGGCAATTCAGAAGAGGATCAGGTTCGCAGACAAAAGTCGTCACAACACTTAAAATAAGTTTTTTTTTGTTTTAAATAAATGTATTTTTTGATAATAACAAGGAAATACTGCTGCAGGTAAAAACACAGCATATTGCATACTACTCTGGGACTGAAGTACTGAATGATTTATTACAGAGCCCTGCACTGGGTCACCATTGAGATGCTGTGTGTTCCTGTAGATGAGGAGATCCCTGAGGTTTCTGACAGCGTAGTCAAAGCCATCACAGGTTTGTCTCATACTCGGTTTTGTTTAAGAACAAAACAGGACATCTCGCGCTCTCACAGGAACATTGTGACACCTGGCTGATTATGCAGTCGGGGATAGAGGGTTAGGAGCAGTGCTGTGCACACATTAGAAGAAGGACAGTACTTTTATTTTCCACTTACAGCGGGAAGAGAAAGGAACTTGTGTGTTAACCCTCTGAAGTAGTCTGACACACCGTTGCGTCCAGATCACACGACTGATTTAAGATGATGTAGAAGCAAGACAAAGCTTTGCTGAGTCTCAGTTTCAGCTTGTTTCTTAAGTGTGGACAGAGATAAATAATTTATGCCATGCTTTTTATCCCTTAGCTATTAAAGGCTGATGGGGTATTGTCGTCACCCTGCTGGGAGGGTGGGCGATGTGGACACCCAAGTTTGTAATTATCGTAACTATTTATGTATGTAACTATTTCCTACTTTTTAAAAATGTATTTTATTTTTATTTATTGATTGATTTGTTTTTTGTAATTTTTAGTTCAGTTGTGTTAACACAGTAAATCGAAAAGAGAAAATAACTGTGAAGTTGTGCTAAAAAGAATGATACCAAACAAGGAAAGATAAACAGTTTCTACATTTGAAATATAAAGGTGAAATCAAAAGTAGTCTGAAATGGTCAGTTATACACTAGACTCCAGAGTGTTAAACTACGTTGAGCGGTGGACATAAGTCAGAAAATAATATTTATTCTTCTTTTAATTTTTACTTCTGTGTAATTTTTTTTTCAGACTACTTTTGCATGTGTTAAAAATAAACTTGAACAGGGCTGATACGATACATCATCTAACCTAATGCTTGTAGCTTTTGTCCAAAGATGCTTAGGACCTGCAGGATGCTGAGCTTGTAGTACGCTGGTGGAAACCTTCCTTATAGTGCTGCTAGGACAAAACTTTCAGATTAATGCTCTGTTTGTCTTCTCTTGTTTCAGACGTGATTGAAATGGATTCGAAGCGCGTTCCCAAGAACAAGCTGGGATGCATTACTCGTTGCAGCAAGCACATCTTCAATGCCATCAAAGTCAGCAAGAAAGAGGCTGCGTCTGCAGACGACTTCCTCCCCACACTGATCTACATCGTGCTGAAAGCAAACCCACCGCGACTGCACTCCAACATCCAATACATCACCCGTTTCTGCAACCCCAGCAGACTCATGACTGGAGAGGACGGCTACTATTTCACCAATCTGGTGAGGAAATTAGTACAACAAGTGCATTTATGTGGCTTATCGGTGTTTGTCTGTAGTTTTTCAGTTATGGGTTAGTGCTTTGAGGTTGTTTTGTGTTATTCTGACCTGTTTTCTATTATTTTTTTGCTATAAGAGATGGCTGAGTCAGAGACGTTCTGTAAAATTCAGCATCCTTCAGCAGCAATACAAAACTACACCTTTTAAAGTTCAGTCATCACTTTTTAAAAACATTTTCTGACAAAAATTGCCAAAATCCTTGTAGTTTAGTCAATGACATTTTTCTATTAATCAGTTTTTTTTTTCTTTGTAGCAACTTTTAATTTGGAAAAAAAAAAATCCCATTTGCATAGATTTAAAAACAAAATGCTCCAAAATAATTGAAACACCACGGTGTACAGATCACATGGATGTGTTCAACAGCGTTGTAAAAGAAGATGTCGAAGTGCTGGTAAGCTGTACCTCCTCCTGATGTAATAATACCGATAGTATTTAATTAGGGAAAATTCCTGGCAACCAATTGCTTACTCGACTAAATGAGGGGAAAAATCAGGCTAACCAACTAGTAAAACTAAGAATCCCCCAGTAAGTTAAATTTGAGAACTGCTTAATGGAAAAATTTATATACCACTTGTGCGTCTGTGCTTCACCTCGCATCGTGCATTATCAAGATTGTGTCGTGCATTATGAATGACGCATGCTGTTCTAAAATTCACAACAGCCACTTGAATAAAAGCTAAAATTTAACAAAAAACAAGCTCCAAGTTCCCTCTCGCCACCTCCTCCAGCTTATCTGGGAAACATCGAGCCTTTCCCAGGTGAGCCAATAGATGTAATCTCTCCAGCGTGTTTTGGGTCGCTGGGACCTTCTCCGATAGGACATGTCAGAACACCTTGTCCAGGAGACGACAGCCTTAGCCATCTCCTTATGATGTGGAGGAGCAGCGGTATACTCTGAACTCCTCGTGATTGATTGATCTCCACACCCCATCACTAAGGCAGAGCACATCCACCTTTCGAAAAAGGCTAATTTCCACCGCTTGTATCGAAATGTCATTCTAATACTGCATTCTAAGGCCTGCATTAATAGATTTATGACTTAGGACACAATCATTTAACACCATTGGGCATCAATTAAAATTTTAACAATCAGATTAAAGGACTAGTAAGTCTGTTACCGACTAGTGACATTTAAACCACGGATGACATCCATGGTTGAGATTTCTTTTTCTTTTTTTTTTAAATCACTCTTACTTCCTGTCTTCCCAGTGCTGCGCAGTGGCCTTCATTGAGAAGTTGGATGGCCAGTCTCTGAACCTGAGCTCTGAGGAGTTTGAGCTTTACATGTCGGGCCAGGCGTCCCCAAACTGGCCACTCACTTCCGGAGCCGCCGCCTCCTCCAGCAACAGCGCTCTCAGTCAGGTCCACAAAAGGCTGGATCTGCTGACAGGGCTCGGGGAAAGGCAGGAGCGCGTCATCGAGAAGGCTCGCCAGCTGGAGAGTGACCTCATTGACTGGACCGATGAAGTGGAGCAGAAAGTGCAGAGCGTTCTGGAGAGTTTTCCACCCGACATGCAAAACCCCCCTGCACCCACAGCGAGTGGGGCTGCAGCAGCTTCATCAGCAATCGACTCTGATAATGTTGAGAATGAGCTCCTGCCACCACCACTGCAGCCACAAGTGTTTGCTGGTTGATATAAAGCTTTACTCCACCCTGACCCTTTTCCCTCCAGCTGTCTGATACAGATCCCAGTCAACACTCCCAGAATCTTTGCTCCATCCACCCTTTTCTTGTAGAAGCCATGAAGCTAGACCTTATAGCAATGTCACTTTCAAATGGAAAAAAAAAAGTTTGTTATTTTTGGGTTGTGCGTTTATTTGCTTTCTTGGAGAGAGTAAGATGAGAAGCTTGATGCCACTCTCGTGTTTGAACACTGCGAAATATTTTGTTGTAAATTAGTTTGTAGAAAAACCAAAGCGTAGAAGCTTTCGTACAGATCAGCAGTTCATTGGTGGTGGATTTCTGTCACCTGTGGACACGGCTAGGCTGGTTGCAGCTGTCAGAGTGGTATGAATGCTCCTGACTCTCCACCAGGAAGCAAATAAGAGCATTTACTAAAGTTTGAGATTATTTTGAACACCAGGGACCACTAGGTGGAGTCCTGGAGTCCAGCAACACTCAGTCAGGGGTCTGTTACTGTTACAGTCTGCTCCTGTTAAAGTTTTAGACTTGCTGATATCCTCAATCCAGCTGAGCAGTGGAAAGAGAGTGACTCCATTCCAAGTTCTTCCGAAACACATCCGCTTGTCACCCACTGTGGCATCTTCAGTACCTCAGCTATTCTTCACCCTTTATGTACAGAGAGGGTAAAATGGACGATATTTAAACATGCATAATAACTCTCAAACTATCAGATGAGGATTTATTTTAAGCGTATGTCTCCGGGCTATGTTGGCCCTTAATTCCCAAATTGTATCTAACAAACAATAATTTTCATTACACTTTAGATAACACTTTAGATGGGCGGGGTGGGGGTAAACGAGGTGGTAGGGAACTCCCAATGATGCAATAACCAACTTGCCGCTCTCTAAAACTCTGAAACTCCAGCTCATGTTTGTAATGTGTGCTGTGTTTAGTGTGCGTTTCACAACCCTTCACAGGAATAGCCAGAAAAAAGAAGTGTGTGCGTGAGTTGAGAAACTGTGTGTGTGTGTGTGTTGCATGTTCTAGTAATGTTGACAAATCCTCCAGTTACACCTGTAGAAATACTTTTTTTTCCCATGGCTGACCTCATTCTAGTCACAAGCTGAATGTACAGAAGTGATTTTATTTTTCTATACGGTGTTGGTTAATCCTCCCTCTGGATGCAGTAGGAGATGATAATCCTGTAATATTTACAGTAGATTTAAAAAACAACAACAAAAAAAACCCTTTGCTTGAAGATGTATAAATTTTAATGATCGAGTCGTTGACGTCTTAAGAGAGCATTATGAGCAGGTCTGCTGAAAGAAGGTGAATGAAAACCAGCACGATGCCGTTTCCCTGTAAGAATGAGGCAGAATCACTCCAGAGGCTCATGGAGAATTTAGAAAACCAGTTTAATTTATTTTATGGCACTTTTGTTTGCTTTTAAAGCACTTCATTCAATAATGAAGGTCATTGCGCAGATTAGTTGATAGTATAGTAGTTAAAAGCGTCTTTGTTGCACAGATTTAGGTCGACTGTCTTTTTTAAATTTCTCAGTCTTGAAGTGGAGGAAGCTTTTTAGGAAAGTTTGTTTGAATTATGTGAGGCACATTTTTCTTTTCTCGCGAGCTAAAGTTTCCCTTTCCAACCAGGTTTAATTTTTGTTGTTGTTGTTGAGAATTTGCAACAGTGCAGTCAGTGTGCGGCTGCTGTCAAAATTCACTTTGAGAAAAAGCTCTTAATGCAGACATAAACTAACAGCTTGAATAAATTCTTATTGCACTGTATGCAGAAACCATTTATCAGGTATTTCAAAACATTTTAAACCGCGTCTTTGTTACCTTATAGGTTTGTTATTGTGTGACATGGGAGAAATGAACAGAATACTGTCTTTTATTTAAATGTAACTTATTGGGGCAGTATTGGTATATTTGCATCTATGGGTGTGTGGTTAATAAAAATAGAAAAGTAAAATGGACTGTTGTGGTTCCTTTTAATTTTTTTCACATGACTGTGATGGTCAAGATTTTGCATGTCAGGAATGAAGTTCCTGACATGCAAAATCAGGAAAAATGAACCCAGAATTTTAGCTGTGTCTACTGTTCTGTATGATATCTGGGAAAGGGGGGGATAGTTTAAGGGTGGCTTCTTGGCAGCATATCTTAAGGATGTGTTTTTCATGACGTGGCTGGTAATCCTGCTGTTGATAGCATTTTAGGCCTCTTCTGCTTTCACCGTGCACTTGTCCAATTTCCTTAAATTTGTAAAAACACACTCCATGCCCTACTGAGGTTTAATAACAAAATGCCTAAAGATACAATTTAAAAATGGTCCTTAGTTATGTTGTCTGTAACAAAAAAAGAGAAAAAGAAAAAAAAACACATTCCCGTGAACATGGTCACGTAAGGAGTGGACTAGAAACCAAAAGCGAAACCTAGAAAGCCTCGAGAACTGTTGCTTAAGACCTCTTGGGTCAAAGAAAAGAAAAAGAGAACAAGAAAACACACCCTTCCAGTGAAAAGCTCTGCGGTTCATTTTCACTGGAAGGGTTCAAATGAGCTAGAAAGAATAATGCAACAAATAATATTTCACAGTTCGGGAGTACAGCTCAACAGTGCAGTGAATCAGTGGATTGTATAAAAACCTGATGGAGTTTCATTCTATTAATTATACACTTATCAATAATGTAGGTGTCTGCTTCGAGGTTTTTGGTCACAGATGCTCTTCTGCATGACTTGGTTGTAAAGAGTGGTTATTTGAGTTACTGTTGCCTTTCTATCAGTTCAAAGCATTCCTCTGACCTCTGAAATCAGCAAAGCATTTTTACTTGGAGAACTGCCCGGATATGAACTCTTCTTTTTTTTTTTTTTAAACTAACCTCAGTAAACTCTAGAGATGGTTGTGCTGGGAAAATCCCAGCAGATTAGTAACTTGAAAAATGCAATGGTAAATGTTTTTTTTTTCACTCTTCACTGCACTATCTATAATGCCAGAAAAAGCCCCCAAAAATATATTTAAAAGAATGTAGGAGGATACAACAGTGAGTGGCTACATGCATCTAAAAAAAAAAAAAAAACATGTTGGAGGCTCAGTCATGGCCACTATCTGGAAAATAACTGATTGGCAGCAGCTTAATATTGTCACGCTGCCAATTCAGTAAGACCATACCTGGATTTTTTTTTTTTTAAAAAGAAACCACACACAATGTGACACTATCAGTCTTTGACGATAGTGTCCTTCCAGAAGCCTGGAGAACTATTCCTCAAGACTACTTAAAGAAATTAAAAGAAAACTGCTTCAGACAGTTTTGACTGTGTTAAAGAATAAAGGTCATAACAAATATTAACTGTCAAGCTTGTTAGAATTGTACAAATTTTATTTTTGCCTCATGTGCTGTATTACCGTGTACATTTCCACATTTCAATAAATTGCTGGACCTATTTCCCATTTTCCTGGCAAAATATACGAGGGGTGACTCATGGCTTTTACACAGTGCTGTAAGAGAAAAAAGCTCATAGCAGACTACTGCATCAGTACTACAATAATAAAGTGTAAAATTTGCATTATTTCAATTGGCTTGATACAACAAATAAACAGAACAACTGTGTTTGCTAAATCTGGAAAATATCAACTTTCCACATTAATCAGAAGAAGAAAAAAAGTGTTGTTGGGGAGAACTGTGCAACATATCAGAGCTATTTAACAGGGGTCAGATACAGGAGGGAAGTTCTTTAATTTGCCACATGATGTGGTTTACCATGAAACTAATTTTAGCCTACGGTAGAGAATTGTTTGGAAAAGATGAAGTCCTCATGTGTTACACCCCAAGGGGGGGAAGAAGCATTTTCACTTCTCCTTTTAGTGGAAATGAATAAATACTCGATCGGCTTCTGTTTCTTGAAGAGTCTCCAAAATGGACAAGCTCATCTCTCTCTTTGGTGAGTTTTCTTCAGCTCATTTAATGAAAATGTACTTTTACATACTGACCTGATGTAACTGTCATTTAAACTTGATTATTTTCTCTTTCAGTTTTTTCAGCACTCTCACAGATTGTAGTGTCTCATGGTATGAACCAAATATTCTTTACAAATATACTTTCAATTTGCACAGATATTATTTTAGAAGTGATCTCAGGATTTACACTCATTACCAAAATAGATCCTTTAAACGTAATCTTCTTTTTTTCTGCAGTTCCCACTGAGACGTCTTTCAGAGCCAACATTGAGTTGGTGTCAGGACATTCAAGGATCTTCTCGGGGGAGAGAGCACACTTGAGATGCAGTATTCCTGATGTGCACAGGTCTAACTGGACCTACCTGTGGTTCAGGGGCTCTGAGGAGCTCTCACAGACTGGGCAGGAATTAAATCTGTTGAATACCAAAGTTCAAGAGAGCGGGAAATACTACTGCCAAGGAACAAGAAACACGAAGGTGGGAAAGATTCGCACCCAGCAAAGTGTCCCTGTGGAGCTCAAGGTGGACGGTAAGATCTGTTTGTCTGCATGAAAGAAATAAAATTGCTTTGCACGTTAGGCTTCTTTCTTCCTGTGTAATCCTAACACTGGAGCATTGAACATCTATAAGCTTCTTTTCAACTTTAGGTTTTCTGTGCAGCTCATCTAAGACATGCTGTGAGTGATGGCAGCACTTCTTAATACAGCCTGCAACTTATACTGTGACTTTCTAGGGTTTAACATATAAATCTTCTTCTATAATTCTACTTAAAATGTCCATTTGGTACAACAAGGACTTGTTTTGTTTTGGGGTTTTTTGTACTTATGTGGTATCTTTTCCCCACCTTATGTTATAACTAGACAGTATATCAGGGGTGCAGGCTGTATTATAGAGTACCTTAACCTCCCCTTCTTGCATTGTAGCATTACGCATTATTGTTAGATGTTGTTACATTAAATGTTAGGAAATTAGTGAATTTCTCCCATTGCTTTACTAATGTAAGATTGGAAGTTATTCAGAGGTAACTCTGTGGTGTTTCCGTAGGTGGCTGGGTGATTCTGCAAGTCCCACAACATCCTCAACTTGTCGGGAGCACATTGGAGGTGACATGTCGTGTCAGAGGGAACCCCCGACTTGAAGAGATTATTTTGTACAAAGATGGCGTTGAAGTAATGAGACAAAACGGTCACGAGCCAGATTTCTATCTGACCAACTTGAGCCTTGAGGACCTAGGAGTATATTCTTGCAGGGCTTCCTGGGATGTGAGGGGACGAACACACTCTGCCATTTCTGCTGGTGCTCATGTACAGATCTTAGGTGAGATTACACTGAATTGTGTGTTCTTATCTTAGGTGTGGTGTAGTTAAAGGAATGACAACATGCTTTGAGAGATGTGCTAATCTAGATAGTGTTCTTATAAGTGATCCATCTTTACACCTAGTGCTAAACTTAGTGTCTATCGACCTTCTCCTTTAATGCTGAGCATGAAAGCCCATATTTCCCACAATGTTAAGTTATTCCTGTTAGTACAATTGAACATAAATATTCTTAGCCTCATGACCTACCACTTGTTTTTTTCTTAAATTAAATCAATGTCTTCTGTCACAGAGGTTCTGTCACAGCCAATTTTGAAGATCATCCCCAACTATGATACTCAGCTAAAGAGGATGAAGCTCATTTGCCATGTGCAGTACAACGCCCCTGCTCCTGCCCCTCCGATAGACTTCTATTTCTACAAAAATAACAGGCGACTGGGACCTGCAACCTCTGACAACTATAATGTAGTGAAACAGACTCCAGGGCCGTACAGCTGCAAGGCCAGGGTGCCTCAGTTGGGCCTCTCGAAGTCCAGTGAACCCAAAAACTTTGGACAAATAAGAGGTATTTAAATTTTAATTTACCCCAGCATTTGTTCTACACCGATAAGCCCCAAAGTTCCTAATGGACTGCTAAAAATGTGATACTTTGTGTGTAACAGTTGCACAGCCTCAGAGGCCATCTCATCTCTGACCCAACGGAACCTGAGAAGATGCCGCCTCTTCATCCTGGACTCCAAAGGCCAGTATTTCGCCTTGCTTCAGCCACAGATGATTTCCCACCTGCTGCTGCTTCATTACCAACCTCCCCTAAACTCTCCTCTCACCAGCCGATCCAGTTCACTCCAGTAAAGAGCACACCATCACAAGAGCCTCCACTGAAGACTTCACAAGCAGTCCCAACCAGTTTGCTGACTACAGACCAGG